AAAACATAGATCTGGAAAGTGAACGTAATATTGTTGATTATTATCCAGATGACGTAGACGAGCATTTAGTGAATGAGTGTGCATTCAGTTAAAATCTTATTTACTTCAGTCTAAGCCAGAGTCTTACACCTTTTGAAAGTGAAATTTTATGCTAATTTATGAAAAGAAACTTGTTGATGTTTTCCCAAATTGCTATACTATCTTAAAGATTTCTTTAACTTTGCCAATCACTAGCTGTGAAGCGGAGCGCTCTTTTTCCAGTATGTCATATATAGAAAACAACTTTAGGACAACAATGTCGAACCGTCAACTAAATCATTTATCAGTTCTTTCCAGAAATTGTGATTTAACGAAACACTTATAATGTGATGAGCAAATAAAGGAATTTGCAGCACAAAAATGCAGAAAGGTTGCTTTATAATTTATGTAACATAACTACACATAACCGGTCAATTTCTTTTGCAATAATGTTGTATAGTTGCTGTTTGTATACACAAATAAAAATAAATAAGTAAAAAATAAATAAAATTATTTTATTGTCCTATTTTTTTCTATATACTTATCTACATCACTGTAGAAAACAGTTTTTTGACAAAAAGAGCTATTAGGGCCCCTAAGTAGTTTCAGCCCAGGGCCCCACAAATTCATGATCCGCCCATGGCTATCTCGGCTTCCACAGAATCATTTTGCTCAATTATGTTGGTACACATTTGAGCAATTTCTTCATCAGGCTTTTCATTGAAGCCACTCTCATCAGTGTTATCCAAAGTTGGAACCTCCACAGTTTGGCTCGTTTTCTTTTTCTTCTTAAAGATACCGAACCAGGTTGTACGAACAACACTAGTCTCTGAAATTACATTTACTGATTTCAATTGATCAATTTAAAATAACTCATCTAATTTTTCCCAGATAGCAAAATATGGTTTATTTTCACTCAACAAAAACCTTTTAATGTAAACCTAAAAAGGTTTGTAATACGGTTTACACATAAACCTTCTAACCTTAAAACGAGATCTGTGACAACCTTCTCTATTCTACGCACATTATTACCCTAATCCAAAACCTTGAAAAACAACCTTCTATATAAAAACCTTAAATCGAGGTTGTCTTAGCGTGAAAAAATTCTTGAATAGAGCTAGTCTCAAGGTGAAAATAATCTTAAATCTAGGTAATTATAAGGTTTCTATTAGCTAAGTCTTGTATGGTCAGCTAAAATCCGCCTTGTCATGAAACATTAATGGACAAAGCATATTGATCCTATCGCTAGTGTGACGTCAGCTAAAAAATCATTATGGACCTATGTGACAGTACTTTTTAAAAAAGCTTTAAAAAAATAATTTTAATCCTTTTAAGATGAAAGGTTTGAAACTGAAATATTTAAGCTTTATTGAAAAAAGGTTTTTAGTACAAACGTTTTCGTGTCAATAAAAAGAAACTTCCGACGCAAGGTTGCCGTAAGGTTACTTGTTTTCTGGGTTTAATACTCTCTTAAAATGTAGCAAATACATTGCAATAAATTACATAATTTCAATTCGTCAAGTATGCTAAATAATTATAAATTTTACATGATTATAATTGTTATTGTAGGATTAATAGTGAAAAAGGTTTTCTTCCTTGTCACTGGATTTCGTAAAAAACAAGCGGAAAACTAAAGTTTTTGAATATAGTCTCCATATAAGGGAGCAAATCCCTCCTTGCTACAACCAGTTTATGTTTTATAACATTTTATCTCTCTGTCCACTCAGAAGTATAGTTTGTCTAAGCTAAGAACTCCTCAGGCCACAATGTCTGAGGTCGTCTGGAGCTATGGAAACAAGAATGGCGCATTCTAGGCAGGGTAACTTCAACACAATAGAAGAAAGAAATAAACGTCCTGTTGGTGCCTTGCTTTTTGAGGGACTGAGAAGCCAGCAGACTTGTTTTTCTCGCTTTGCCTGTTTGGTCACTTGAAGTGTCTCTCGCATGTTCAGGGGCGAAAGACTTTTCGACTTAGCAATAAATTTAGGACTGCTCAGGTTTCTCCCGAGCATATTCTAAGTTGTATCGATTTTAACAAGCAAGCAAATATGACGAGTCTCGCAGCTTAAGATTTTTATTCCTGATTTTTAATTAATCAATTTCCCTGAATAAAAATTCAAAAGGTTTAGAACAGCAACATGAAAAATTTTAACGAGATTTTCATGATAAGAATCTTTAATGGAACTTACAGTAGCCTCGCATATTTTCTTTTACACTACCGGTCGGGATTTTATCCTACGCATCCTGTAAAGAACTACGCATAGTTTTATACGTTGGGTTGCTCGTGCTCCTTATTATCTCCATTGTATTTTGGATTGTTTTAATAGAACTGTAAGTCTGATAATTTGAACACTAAAAAGGACCTTTATTTAAAGCTAACTTAGCGAAACAATGTTGAAACTCAGTACGAATTTTGCTTTTTAACCTATTCATTGTTGCTCCTTCTTGTGGAAAAAGAATTAAAACTTTCACCACTTCCAAATAAGCACCTCTGTCAAGCAAACTGGTAGCGTGATTTCAAGTAAAAAATATTCTTAACTGAATTTCAGTTGAATGTTGAATCTTATTTTGAGCTATAATGCGCTTGTTTTATTTTAATTCCTTTTGAACCCCATATAATTGTTTTAATTAAAATATTGCATATATATTTTATCTACAAAATATTTGTCTATTTTTTGCTTTTAATTGCTTTGATAAAATATTTTCTATTTTTTTCTCATTCAAGATAACAGTTAATTAATTTTAAGATAAACTTTTGTGTTACGTGATTTGGTAAAAAAAAAATTAAAAAAAAATGTCACTCCCCCCCCCACCCATCTTTATATTCTTTTTGACAAATTTGTTTTTTGATAAGAAGGAAATAATTTTTTTTAAAGAAGNTAATAAATTTTAAGATAAACTTTTGTGTTACGTGATTTGGTAAAAAAAAAATTAAAAAAAAATGTCACTCCCCCCCCCACCCATCTTTATATTCTTTTTGACAAATTTGTTTTTTGATAAGAAGGAAATAATTTTTTTTTAAAGAAGTATCAGCTTGGTATTCTTCAGTTTCGAATGAATTTTAATATTTAAAATAATTCTATTTCATGAAAATATATTGCTAATTTTGTCTGATTAAAAGAATTCTCTGAAACACTAATGTTTATATGAAAGCACGTCAACATGCATTTGTACTTAGGCATGCAGCCCTTCATTTAAGAAGAGATTGTGCACCCCTATGAAAGTGGATCACAATAATCAATAAAAATATTTTTTCTTTTACAAAATATCTTTTTTGTTCATTCACTTTACCAATAATAAAAACTCTTAACTAAACTCTGATGGTGAGTTATTTTTTCGTAATGTTAAGATAAATTTCATTTCAACGTGGTAAGTGTAGACAATGCTCTAATTTGGTACTTTTCTAAATTCTGCCTTTAAATCGAAATTATAAATTCCTTAATGATTGGAATGAAAGCAATTTTAAATATTATGCATAAATTCAAATAAAATGAATGATAATAAATACCATAAAGTGTCTTCACAGTGTTTTTGCTTACATTATAATTAAAAAAATTGAATTAAGTTTAAGATAGGGCGTATACATAAATTCTGCAGGGGCTGCACCTAAGTCTATGTACGCCATTGATGATATCGCATGAGAAAATCGCTCTCAAAAATCGAGCGAAAACCTGATTGACAATTTATTTGCGGTATAAAATTTTCCATACATACAATGTGCAATGCAAACGTAACATACGCGAACTGAGATATTCGCTTGAACCGTATCAAATGCAGCGAAAATAGGTCCAAAAAGACCTAAAGTTTCTGTTACGTTTAAAGTTTCTGTTACAAAACCAACTACTCTTGATTGCAAATTTCTCTATATCTATGGTACAACTGAAAAGAGGGGAAGGGCAGAAACATGTTGTTGTTGTTGTTAATTTACGTCGCACTAGAGCTGCACAACGGGCTATTGGAGACGGTCAGGGAAGCATCCCGGAGGCACTCACGGAAATGCTCACGGTTTCGGCACCGCTAGGCGCGTTCGAGAATAAGCTCTCTGAAAACCGCAAAATTAAGAATATGGTAACCCAACCGCTCTATGCGTCACATCTTGCTACAGCGTGCAACCCTATTACGTTGATTGAGTAGGAAAATGATGGTTAAAAATTTCTATTCTAGTTAAAAATTTCTTTCTTATTCACTTCTATCTTCACACCGCTCTTGTATTTTTTATAAGCGGTTTTCGTTTTGAATGAAAAATTCACACTTAATTTAATGCTTATATCTGAGAATTTTATTTAAAAATAGATTCTTGTAAATATTTTACTTTTCAACTTCTTTTTTTTT